GACATAACTGAAAAACAGTCCTAAGTTACTTTTTTCAGTGCCGCTGTAACTTTGAATGTTCACTAAATGAGCTGTTATAAGTCAAGAACTACCTGTACATTACAATAATCTGTTTTTTTGAGAAAAGCCTAATTAATTAATTTAATTAATTGAAGAACTTAGTAATATATTTAAACACATTTTCTGAGTATCAGTTAACTTAAATTTGAATAGTTTGTTTGCAATGAGAACTTGAGCATTTATTTGCAAGGGATCATAGCAGTATTTATTGAGTATTTTCACCTACATTCAGAAAGCATTTCTATCCTTTATACTTCTGGCAGTATGTATTTTCCCATCCTGCTTCTCCCTTGCACTCAGAGATACACTTAAATAATTTCTATTGAGTGACAATGCATTTCAAGCCTGAGGTTATTACTAATTTTATTGAACGTCTTCTATTCTTCCTAAGGTACTTGTCACAGCATAAAATGTCTGCAAATATATTTAATGAAGGAAAAAATATTTGGGAGGGGGCGAAGAGACGGCAATATGGAAAGATAAACCTTCATGAAGATACTCTCCTTACCTGATTTCTCAACCAGCTCTCTGACATCTTTTTTTTCCAGAAGCCCTGAGTATCCAAGTCCCCTGCATTCCAAAATGGTCTTCAGCTTTTTAAAACTCAGTGCCACTGGGTCGACCAACTGGGTGGCAAAGAAGCCAGTTTCATACCACACAACGGCTTCAAAAAATCTGGCCAGAATAAACAAGACCAAAAAATAAAGAAGCAAGAAAAACAGTTTCAGCCACATCTTTCTTGCGGGTGGATTTTCGACTCTCAGAAGAGAGTCCCTCAGTCCTACAAGAGAGAGAGAAAGAGGAAATGTCCTGATGGAGGAAGCAAAGGGAGCCAGGCATTCTGAACGCTTTGGGTCTTGTCCCTAATGTCAGGGTCTTTCCCTTTTTCTCCCCCTTTGGAACAGAATATAAACCGGTTGGATAGACAGTGAAAAGAAGACCTTGTCTGGAGGCACCTGGGAGGAAAACACTGGCACTGGCTTAAGGCAGCCAGGGAGTCACCTCTCCTTTCGGACCAGCTGATGATAAGGCAGAAATACAAACGGGTGGTGGTGCAATAGAACTTTACCGTGAAAAGGTGCTTGAGGAGCGGCACCCGTAGGAGAAGGGCTGGAGCTTTTCAGGGATGAAAAAGGATGACCGCTTCAAAGGGGGAGGGAATTCTGGACGGCGGCAGCGAAGGGGGTGATTTTGCGTCAACTGGGTTATTGGGGAAAGGGGGGGGGCGGGCCGGAAAGGGAGGGGAAGGCCGGAGGGGGGGGGGGGGGGGGGGGGGTCACTCCTCGGTGTGGGTAGGGAGCAGCAGAGCCGAGGAAAAGGGCAGCCAGACTGGGCAGGGCGAGGCGCCTCGCTTGTTACCCCCTTCACGGGCAGACGGCGGTCCTACTTCTGCGGGGACCGCTGGCGGTGACTTGGCTGGGCTTCCGCGTGCCCCGTCGTCGTCGTCGCCTCCCCGCGGCGGAGCAGAGCCCGAGCCGGAGGAGACATAACAAGTGACGTCTACAGCCGCGGACGGCCGCAAAGGGAGGGGGAAATGGGAGGGATGTGGATCCAGAAAGCCGGAAAGGAAGAAGGAGAGCTAAGCCAGCCAAGCAGTTTTTCCTTCCTGGGCGACCAATTACGGCGCTCACCCCCGTGACTAACCTGGGCGTTGCTCCCCAGAGGTTTGTTTACCTAGGAAATCTGCCGGTCGGTCAAGTTGAAATGCCTTATCGCGGTGCGTTTAGCGCAGGTCAGGAAGCTGGCCAGTTGCCTTTTAATCTGTCCGCGGCGATTGCTAGAAGACAAGCAATTATCTCTTTTAACACCCACTTTTTCTATTGGTAGAGAAAAACAGCGGGAGCAAAAAGGGCCGGTGGAGCAGTCAGCCCTCTCTTTCGGTTCTGCAGTCCCTATTCGAAAGTTGGTGTAGTCGAAAGTGGTACCCTACTAAATGCGTTTACATTCCGAGCTCTAGTTCATTCTCAAACGAAAATTTGCAAGACAATTTCGGGGGTTAATGTTAATTAACATTAAAATCATGTTTCCTAAGAAGAAACTATAGAACTGCGTATTATACCGATCTCTTTCTCCCCTCCCCGGAAATCTAGAAATATTCTTGTAAGTCAGTCATGCTGTATAACATAAGATTATAGTATAACAGTGTCTAAAAACAGAATACCCCAAAGTATCCAGTGTTCAAATTCTATATCACAACCTCATTGAACTATTTTAAACATAGGATTAATCATTGATTTATTAAATAAGCCATAATTGAATCCACAACTTTCTAAGCCAGTAACCAGATACACATTGCATACACTTTTCAATGACTGCTTCACAATAATCCACAATCACATAAAACCCACCATGTTTCTATGCCATCAAATACAGAAAATTGTAATTTTAACATATTAACAACAATGTATAGGTTTCGTACATGTGGAGTGAATACAAGATGAAGACAACCCTGCAGACATAGCAAAAAACAAAAGAAAACACCACATACTGTCAGGGAAGAATTATGCTCTGACCAATTGTAAACAGGGAAAGACCTTAATCCATTGGTTAGTGCTATGTTTAAACTAGTCCAACTGGGACATTGCTCCAGCGCAGCTTCAAGATATGTAAAATCTGTTAGGTATTGTCACCTATTACTCCAAAGGAAAGCCAGGTGATAGGCAACTGAACTGGTGATGGTACTAAATGAATAATATTTACAACTGGTTCTCAGAGTTCTGACTATTGCAACACCCCTGTGATTGCAATTTGGACAACTAGCCGAGGTTTCCAATTATTGAAACATCTGTGGTCATGTAACTGATTCGAAATTTTCTCTGCTAGCTTCCCACAAACTCAGTGATATGTGAGGTCTTGTTTAAAACCTACACGGTTAATTAAATATAGACTGCTCAGTAGATATTTGGATAAGATCATACTATAAAGTTGCAATAAGGACTACCTTATGCTGAAGTAAACAAGACCTTAGAAAAACAAGTTTTAGAAATGTAGTCCTAAACTAATAGCAACCTAGTAAGACATAAAGCTTTATATAAAAAAGGTAGGATACAAATATATCGGTTTGCCTTCAGAAATTGTGGGTGCTTCATCACTGGAGGTTTTAGAAGATCTCTATGGTCTCTTCAGCTCTATTCTGATTGATTGAACAATGAATCATTGCATAATACATGCACAATCACTTCAACTTTGCAGCAATGTTGTGTTCCCAGTTCATTTTATTAAATAATATTGTATATCTTGGGCCATGATGGCAAACTTACAGCACGCGTGCCGCAGGTGGCACATAGTGCACCCTCTGTGGGCATGGGAACCATCACTCCAGTTCAGTTCTGCCATGCATGTGCGCACGCCTCCTGCCAGCCAGCTGGTTGTTGGGTCTCTGCCGCACGTGCGCAGGGGGAGGGGCATGTGCGGGGGGCCCACGCACACATGCATGGGGGGACATGTGCAGGGGCCCGACATGCATGTGTGGGGCGTGTGCAGGGGACCGCACGAGCATGTGTGGGGGCAGGGCACATGCGCAGAGCCACGTGTGCATTGCATTTTGGGGGTTTAGGTGCATGTTGGGCACTCATTCCAGAAAAGGTTAGCCATTACTCATCTGGGGAGTCCCTTTTCGGTAATAGCACCTGCCTTCTAAGACCTGGATGGTTCCCACTCTGCTATTCTTCAGAAGGACAATGAAAACCTGGCTCTTCACCCAAGACCATATTGGTGTGTGACCCATACTTTCTCTGCTCTGTTGTGCTTGTCATCTTCTATCAATTTTATACTAATTTGATTGTTGTGAGCCACCTGGTAGTTGAGCAACATACAAATTTAATAAATTATACTACTGGCCAAGGTCACATATTGCAGTAAGGCACACTGCAAATTGACTACTACGAACTCAGCCATTAGGGTTTGTAAATGGTGGTTTACAACTCAGCATGTAAATCTGACCAGCTGGGAGTTAAAGACATGGTTAAAAACAAAAAAATATTTTAATGCACATTTATCTGGTTTGAGAGTCCCTACGGAGGACTCTTGTATTTTCTCATTTTGTAAAACTGCAGCATATGGCCTACACTAAAGCATGATCAAATAATTTTTTTTTACAAAAGTGAATTAAATAACAGCCATTACAAGCACTGATGTTTGGCGGGAAAGCAAAGATAATGTAACTAAATACAGTTAAGAAAAGTGCAACAACGAGGATGAGAAGAACATGATTTCTTGAATCCACGCTATGAATCGATTAGATTTTATTTTATTTTTAAAAAAGGGGACTCCCAACAATAGCTCCGCTCGACGAATCCACTATTGAAAGTTTCATATACCCAGCTCAGGAGAAAAACACACACAGTCCCGCCGTGTGGCCTGGAGGTAGTAATCAGTTCGCGACGGAAGTTTAAACGAGGGGAGAAAGACCTAAAAAAAATCGCTTCCGTTTTGTTAGAGGGATCTCCTAAACGGATCCAACACCCGCTAAAGAGCCCCATTGAGGGAGAAACCCCTCACAAACAGCCCGTCAAAACCACGAGACCCTGTAGGAACAGCCGCTTCTTCAGGAGTCTCGGAGAGACCTTCGGTCGCTCTCAAATCCTGCTTGAGCGAGATCAGTCTTAGCTGTCTAAGCTGTTGCCTGTCTTGAATGCGGAACAGCTGCGTGAAAAATAGAGCCGGCGTCCTAGATAGACACAAAAAGTTCACTTAATTTGAAATTTTAAATTAAATGTTTAAAAAGTTAATTAAATCCAAATAACACTTCCGGTGGAGGGAAAAAAAAACCCTGTCATTTTATGGGTACTAGGACTGCTTTGACTTTGTTGGTAGCTATTATTTACGCAGACCGGCAGCGTTTCTTGTAAGATTTCCCAAGTATCTCATGAGCAAGATGTCTTAGGGGTGAGGGGGACACCATGGATATCTAAAAGTCCCGCAACGGTCATCTTACAGCCTCTTCAAGGGTGCTGAAGAGTTGTTCGGATCATTTTCTATTTTTAGTCCTAAACTCCCAGGTTCCCCTTGAAGGACCTCCAGGCTGTTTACAGCGCTGCCTGTGACGCATCTCCAGTATTTAGCTGGTGGACCTCAGCTGTCTTCCGCGCTGCCTGCAAAAACAACAACTCCCCAACCTGCTCCGCTTTGCTCCTTCGTTCTCTTTCGCGGAGGTCCTCCGTCGAGCGTCCCCTGACCGAGCCGCGCTGTCTTGCTTGGTCGGCGGGAGGACAAGCCGGCGCCGGAGGGAAAGACAATGGACCAATGCGTGACGGTGGAGCGCGAGCTAGAGAAGGTGCTTCAGAAGTTCTCCGGCTACGGGCAGCTGTGCGAGCGGAGTTTAGAGGAGCTGATCCAGTACGTGGCAGGGCTTCGCCGCGAGATCCTCCAGAGCGAAAGTATGTTTCTGCTCGCTCCCTTTTCCCTTCAGAACCGAAGTGCTCTTCCTCCCGAGAGTTGTGCGGGTAGAAATTCAGCCGGTGAAGCTTGCCTTAAAAAGTCGGCTGTTTCACAAACCCCACATCAGCGTTACCTGCTAGAATTGCCATTGAGCCTCTGCTCAGCAGGGAATTGTAACTAATCCCAGCTTTTTTAAAAAAAAACAAATGTGTCTATATTATATATAAAGTGTTCGTAAGATATCTTTTTTGGATGGGGGAGTTATACCTTATTAGAAGTACTCTTTGAAAAAGCTTGTGGACGAAAGAGAAACCCTTATCCCCAATGTTTCATAATTTTTCTTTATCGGGAACTGCTGTTAAAGAAATAGGATCAGGGTTCATTAGGCAAGATGGCAAATCCCTATCCCAAAGTCCTATTCTGGCTGCTTTTAATTGTTTTGTCCCAGTCGTCTAGTATGTATTATTGTATTTCCTCATCTTCTCAAGCTTTATGAATGTGTCATCTATTTCTTCCTTTAAATTTGCTTTTAGTCATGTGACCTGCTGTGCTTTCATGTAACGATTCTGTCCATTTCTTTTTCATTTGGTTTGATCAGGTTCATTCTCAGAACATTCTGTATATAAAAATAAACCCTCTTTTGCTTTAGTTATATTTCCTTATAGTTGGGTTTAATTTCGTATAAGATCCCTCTTTCAAGTCCACTGCAGTTTGCCCTTCCCAATGTTGTTCCTTTACTTTTCCAGTAGTTAGAACTGTCTGAAATGTGTTAGAAACATTTAGTACTAAAAGAATACAATTGTATCTTCCGTTTCTCCCTACCCCCAAAAAGCAGGAAAAAAAAATTCAAAATACATATGACTGATGATGTAAAATTAATTGGGCAGGATATGATTCATATATCTTCTGACAAATTTAACATCCCTACACAAATTTTCCTGAAAGGCCATTTTGATATTGAGGAAGATGGTAGTGGGGTCAGCATTTATTCATTCTTAACATTGTTGGTTAATAAATAGTAGAGTTTGTTACTCCTTCAAGTGTGTGTGATTATGTGTGGCCTTTATACTATCAGAGGGTTACTTCATATTTCTCACTAGCAGGATTGAGTCCAGGAACACCTAATTGTTAATTACTAGGTCTACTCCATAAATCTATTGATTAGGATAAATTTGGAACAGCTTTAAGAAGGCTTTTTTCTTAGGCCACTAGTCCATTTAAAGAGACAGTATGGAGAAAACAAAAACTCAACTTGTGTATTTGTGGATATGACGCATTGGCCTACAATGTTGAATACTTTCTGGCAAAATAGACAGATGCCTTATGTATTTGGGGTTATTGAACTAACTAATAAACTAAACCAAAATTGCAAGTGGTTAACTCTTAGAAAAAATATCTCTGCATTGATTATAGGAACACATAGAGAAAACTAAAATAGCATGGTTTTTGTTCCTCTAACTGCTGTTCTAATAGAACTAAGATGAATAGTTGTTTGCAGGATTGATTCACATCACCCTATTCTAGTTGATAATTCTGATTATGATTTGAAGTGAATTCAGGAAAACTGAAGTCTGTTTAAACAAGCTTGTTGTTTCTTAAGACTAAGATAGTTTGTAAATAATTTGTAGTACTAATGGCTAATATACTTAATATATACCGGTATTAGATACAGTACATTTAATCTCAGTTTATAGGTTTGACCTGATTTTTCTCTGTAATAAGTAATTTTATCTGTAAGCTTCAAAAGCTAACTACAATACTTCTATAGCAATAAAATGTCTTCGTATTCATATTCTGTAATCCATTGTTCTATTGAATAGGTCTTTGAAATTAAGGCATGGGCTTTTGAGATGGTTCTCATAATGCAATTAATTTTTATTTTTCCTCTCTTCTATTTAGATCCAGATGAAGATCTATCAGGTACAATATCACTTGTTATGACCCAATGTTGTAAACGAATAAAGGACACAGTTCAAAAATTGGCTTCGGATCATAAGGATATCCACAGTAGTGTTTCTCGTGTTGGGAAAGCAATTGATAAGGTATTAGTATTAATTTTAAGCATCAATTTCAATTCAATTTTAATTTATTGCAGTCCTAAACCAGTACAGATAATAAAATAAAATATAAGACAGAATTAAAGTATATATATTAAAACAGCCTAACATCTATAAGTGAGATCCAGAATATAATCTATATAAAATTATAATATGAATACTAAAATTATATTAAATATGATAATGTGTAAAATTACAACAAATAAAAGTATCATGTTATTAATATCCACAAAGTAATATTTAAAGTTCAAATGAATTATAGTTACAAAAATGCATTTCAAGATATTGACCCATCAGGGTTCAACAGATCTTCTGTGCTGTAACCAGGGGTATTTTGTCTATGAGCAACATCAGGGCATAGGCCAAAACTGGGCTATCAGGATATGTACTAATCAAAGGTATTATGAATCTGGTTCAGATGTCTCCATAAAAGAAGCAATGAAGGAGAACATAGAATATTTGTAGCTCAAGTTGAACTATGAGGCCCTTGAAGGTCTCTGAGCTTGATTGTTTCCTTGCAGATGTTTCATTACCCAACTAAGTGATATCATCACTGCTAGTGTGAGTGGGGTTTGCTCTGTGTTTATATCAAAGTGGCTTGTATGTTAGTGCTGGTGGGAATGTTCTTGGTGGTTCCTGGGTTAGACTTTGTTTATTAGTACTGTCTTTATTTGGTAGTTCCTTCATTGCTTGCTTTTTGGTCTAGTATTAAGCTTGGGGTTAATTTCTGCTTAGCTGAGTGTTGACTACTGGCAAGGAGGACTTTTAGCTTTTTGATTGTCCCTTTTGAATGGTATGTAAATGTTTATCTCTATATGCCTGTTGATGGCAGATTGGTCTGAATGCCAGGCTTCTAGGAATTCGCCAACGTTTTTGAACTTAGGTTGGTCTCAGATGCTCAGTTTCCCAAATTAAACTATAGTGGAAGTCTGTCCATGTATTGTGCAATTAAGGAATTTTCATCATATTTTCTGATTGCTAGTTGATGTTCGTGAATGCTAGTCTTCCACTTGTTTGTTCTATATGGTGGCTATTACAGTCCTTACACTGTATGCTATAAATCAGGGGTGTCAAACCTGCGGCCTGGATGCATCACATGCTGGCCACACCCATGTTCGGTTTAGCGAAAGGAAAAAAGTCACAATATATTACATGACAACAATGTGATGCTGTGAGTTTGACACCCCTGCTATAAATGATTCCTGTTTTTTTTTTTCTTTTGGTGCTATTTGGTCTTTTGGTTTACTTAAGATGTTTTAAATTGCTTTAGTTGGTTTGTTTGTAAGGTTGATGCCATGTAGTTGTAACTGTGATTGTTTCTGAAATGTTTTTGATGTATGGCAGTGTTATCTTTTCAACAACTTGTTTTGGTTGTGGTGTAATGGATTGAATGGTTAGGCACTTTTTTATAATGTTGCGTGGATATCCATTTCCCTTCCAATAATTTAATTCTTATATTTTAGGGTTTGATTGAAACTAAGAATATTAAAAATATCATGTCAGCCACCGCTCACATAACCTCTGCCCCCATTCCAAATCTTCAAATGATTTAGTTTTGTTTCTGTTTTATTTAATAGTGTCAGAATGTAACAAATTTTAACAAATTCCAACTGAAAAATTGGAGAGGGGAGAGTATGCACTACTATTATTCATGCTCATCATGGTAAATGATTATTTGTCTCAGTGTGAGATTTGAACATGGATCCAGGGCTGGTGCTCTCCATATTGGTTCACCCTCACAATGGAATTTGCAACCCTAAATAAGGTGCAACTATGCTTACTAATACAGTAAGCAATAGCTAACAGGGTTTTGCCTCTTATTGCCATTGTTACTTTAGATGTTTCTTCTGCTACTTTATCTTCTGGATTTCCTGAATAAATCAAGGATAGATGTCCTTGATAACAGCAGCTGTTATCAAGGGCTATTTGGGAGTAATTTCATCAAGAGCCCAGCTTATCTTGCATTGCCTATGGCAAACAAGGATTTATCTTGATGAGTTTGCCTACTAAAGTTTTGGAAAACTCTTCAACTCATCTCAGAAACTATTAGATCCATAATATGCTGGGGGCACACCAATTGAATAATATAATCTCATTTGTGATTTGACTAAGTCAAAGGAGTGGTAGGAATTCCTTCTATAATCAGATCACATGCTGTGAGATAAATAGCACTAATATTTTCTTACAAGATTAAGTAAAAAAAAAATACAAAGATTCAAAAAGCATTTTTATATAGGAGAAAATATTTGGAAGCAAGTTCAATTGTGTCCCGTGATGAAAACTAGTATCTCCTGCTGCAGTTCGACCTCTTCCACAATGCCTTACATAAATTAAGTGTGAATGTAGGAGTTCTTCAACTCCTATATTTATGTGGACAGGGAAAATGAGTTTGGAGTCTCTGCAGTTTTAAAATATGGTTTGAATATAGAAGATATAGTAGTTTAGTAATGGATGAAATAGTTCGAAAGTGCTGATATTGGCATCTGAATAAAATCAGAAAAAACATTTTCTTCTAGACTTAATTATCATTTTTTAATTCACAGAATTTTGACTCTGACATTAGCAGTGTTGGAATAGATGGATGTTGGCAGGCTGATAGCCAGAGGATTCTGAATGAAGTTATGGTTGAACACTTTTTCCGGCAAGGAATGTTAGACGTAGCTGAGGAGCTTTGTCAGGTAATTGCAGCCAGAATGTGGAGGCAAAAAATAAATTATTTATTTAATAACCATAGATGATATTAATGTGAAAAATACTCTGATAACTAATAGATATGGACTATAACTTTTTTTTTCCAGGAGTCTGGACTTTCTATAGACCAAAGTCAAAAGCAACCATTTGTGGAGCTGAACCGAATATTGGAAGCACTTAAAGTTAGAGTTTTGAGACCTGCATTGGAGTGAGTTATTCAGCTGTTTGGAAACTCTTTAGATAAAATCTAAGAGATACTGAAATCTTTTCCTTTAATAAATGTGTGTATATTGGGGTTTAGAACTAAATAAATGTGTGCAAAATCTCATATATCCTGCCTCAACTGAAAGACACAGCTTGGATAATTCTAATAAATAGCAGGAACTATCTTTCTTCCATAGAATATGGCATTTTCTGAGTAAGTAATCAGTATCAGTCAAATAGTACAGTACACTCATGCAATATTAAGCTGAGGCCTGCAACTGAGAACTGAGTAACTAAAGATAAAATGATCGCATGCCCTTCAAGGTTGTGCTCTTTTAGTATTCCGAGTGCCATATATGGTTTCAGTATTTGCCCATTGACTTTGTTTATTGGAAGCCAGGGGGAAATTATGAGGAGGTCCATGCTTAATGACTGACAATCTTTGCTTAACAACAGCAAGGGGGACTGTCAGGATGGCCAGGTTACTGACAAAGCAGCAACATGATATATTGCTTAGCAATGAAAATTCTGGTCTCAATTACCATCATTAGTCAAAGACCACCTGTATAAATGAAGGTCTCTAAAAAGTTATCGAGTCTGTTACATCTATTCTTAAATTTCTAAAAAAGTTGGTCCGCATGGAAGCCTGATATTAGACTACTCTGTACTGCAAATTATTACTTTTCATATTATTCCCTAAATTATGAATTATGCTATTCCAAATTACTTTTTGTATGGTGGGATACAATTAGCAGATATATACAGAAAGAAAATAGAAGTGTTTTTGTCTCTTTCTGTTTTTCAAATTTCTCTCTGCTGTAGCAGTACAGGTAGTCCTCGACTTACGACCACAATTGAGCCCAAAATTTCTGTTGTTAAATGAGACATTTATTAAGTAAATTTTTCCCCATTTTATGACGTTTAGTGCCTCAGTTGTTAAGTGAATTATTGCAGTTGATAAATTAGTAACATGGTTGTTAAGTGAACCTGACTTCCTCATTGACTTTGCTTGTCAGAAGATCACAAAAGGGGGATCATATTATCTTGGGACACATCAACGGTCATAAATATGAACCACTGGCCAAGCATCTGAATTTTGATCACATGATCATGGCAATGCAGAAAGGAGGAAACTGTGAAAAATGGCCATGTCACTTTTTTCAGTTCCATTATAACTTTGAACAGTCACTAAATGAACTGTTGAGGACTACCTGTAAATGCCATTATTTCACAAATAACAGTATTTTCTGACATTACTTATGATATATTAATTATTTAGCATCTACCCTATATTTCATGTGCCTGAGAGAGTAAAAAAAATCACACTTGAGCAAATATTTAGGAAAAGATGAGCATTATCCAGCTTCTTCTCTCTTTATTTGATATTATTAGAAATACATTTGGAGCCTTGTAGGTTGTATTCCTACAGTATTTTTTTACAAGGTTCCTTACTAACTTTAATGATTTCTTAAGTTCTACTACACTACATCAACTCTTCTGCTTTGGAATGGCAAGAATCGTGCAAATGTGGCTTAGAAATAAATAATTGTCAAGGGCAGAGAAATTCATGTTCCTCTCAGCCTTGGAGAAAGAGTTGCACTAGTTATTCTGCTTCCGAATTGCTAGTACAATTCTTCCATAGGAACAAGATGAAGCAATTCCCTGATCTCCATACTTGTTTTTAATACGTTCGCAGAGAGAGGGTTTCAATATGCGTGGAAAATAAACTTTTGTTTTGATATCCTCAGGACTCCAGTTAGAAGATATACAGTAGAACTTCAGCAACTTTCATTTAAGCTGAGATGTATCAAACCACAAGTGATCCTTATTTTAATTACAGTTTTGGAATTGATGAGCAAGGTTGTAATGAGATTAGGACAACAGAATGAAGGTCATTGAAATTGATAATGATTACCATTCCAAATCTGTAATTGGAACCAGTCCTGCAGGACTCCCTGCATTTAAGCATTGCTCCAAATAACAGAGGGTTTTTTGGAAGTCTGCTGTAGAAGCTTAATGTTTACTTATTATACATTATCTAAACCAAGATACTAATTGTTTGTTATTGCGTAGTATTAATAAATGACAGTGAAAAAAGGACTTTTAACAGCCTTGCAGATAAAACAGCTATTTGTTCAGAAAATATTTGTAAACTCCTTCGCTCATGTGGAGGTCAGCTTGGCACAGTATGACCCAGTGGGGAAAATGTCAGCTTCTTGCTGTTAATAAAATATCTCTATCTAGTTTCCTAGAGACCATTCATATTTGGCAGAGGACTGTAAGTAAGTAGTTTTTTTTTACAAAACAAAGACATTTCTCTGGAACTCTGACCTGGCTGTAACTGGATGGCAGCTACCGGGAACTGTTAATTACAGTTTCTATGAAATGCTTTTTGAATTGCAAGCTGCATTGCAAAATATTGGACATTAATTTTGAAATTTCATTTTATAGTCTAAATCCAAGATACCTATATTTGTAGAAAGCAGTATTACTTACTGCTTGCTGGAGGTATACTAGTGATATAAAAAACATAGTAAATATATTATTTTAGTTTTTAGTGACCTCAGGCAAATGTCAAATAGATAAACCATTATCGTAATTACTAATTTTCCTGTTTTCTTTTCTTAAAATTAATTATCCCATTATTTCTTAGGTGGGCTGTTTCGAACAGAGAAATGCTTATGACACAGAATAGTTCCTTAGAATTTAAGCTACATAGATTATATTTTATTAGTTTATTAATGGGTGGAACTGCAAATCAGAGAGAAGCATTGCAGTATGCAAAAAACTTTCAACCATTTGCTCTCAATCATCAGAAAGGTAAGCAATATGAAATACTATATGCTAGATACCAAACATTATTTCAAGCTGCATGTATTGAATTCTCTTAAAATATTATATTACCCTAAATAGTTTTGCTGCCAGTTTACAGTTTTTTTATTTATTAATTTATTGACAAATATTAATGCTTTTGTATAAAACTTTAGAGATAGAACACATCTAATTATGAAAACTTTTTTTTAGAATGCTTTCTACCAAGGATACCTTTTTTGGTTTCTGAATCTGAGAGCTGATTTAGCTAACCAAAGGTTCAAACAGTGGTTTTACTGGCCTATTCATTTTCTTTTTGGAATAAATTTTTTCTCACTGCCAAATTATAATACTATTTTTTTATTCCTGCCCATTCTTGAAAATATTTTGCTTTCCAGCAAAAAAGAGGAGCTGCTCTTGATGAAACAAATGCAAAACCACACTTGTGTATCACTTAGATTCATTTAAGAAATAAACAACTATTCATATATATCACTAAATAGAACTGCTTGTTTTTAAAGTGATGGTTTTTTATGTGACTAAAAATTTCTGTTCCCAGCATTGTTGAACAGCCCAAACCCTGTCTTTGAGAAATTTTGTTGCACTTGTTCACTTTCAGATTGTGCATCAGAACTGAAAAATTAGTGTTAAAAAAAATAATAGAGCTTCTTGAAATGTTCTAATTATCTGCCCAATGTCTGCTATAGGTATAAGAGAAAACAGAGTCCAATAACATTTTATTTGGGCTACCTAGAGAGTTCTAAAGGTACAAATCATGATTGTAATCTATATATATAAAAGCGAAAACCACTCATGCATTAATCACAAAATCTCCAGAACCATAAAGCTTACAAACTTGAAATTCACCACGTATGTTCCTTTTGGCTTCTAGGTGCTCACTAAGAAGGGATTTTTCGAAATGACCATCAGAGCATTAGTATTTCCTATATTATTATGAACACGCTCTGATGCTAATTAGGTAGACATTCTATTCCCCCTCCCAATTTGAATATAACTCTGGAGAGAATGGGATAGCATAGGACATGCTTCTGTGGGGCAAGCCTCATGGAGAGAGGGGGCTAGAAAGCCTGAGGGAGAGAAGGGGATAGGAGAGGATCTATGGGGCCAGCCTGAGGGAGAAGAAGGGGAGAGATCTATGGGGCCAGCCTGAGAGAGAGAAGGGGATAGGAGATCTATGGGGTCAAGCCTGAGGAGAGAAGGGGATAGGAGAGGATCTATGGGGCCAGCCTGAGGGAGAAAAGGGGATAGGAGAGGATCTATGGGGCCAGCCTGAGAGAGAGAAGGGGATAGGAAAGGATCTGTGGGCCCAGCCTGAGAGAGAGAAGGGGATAGGAGAGGATCTGTGGGGCAAGCCTGAGGGAAAGAATTTGCCACGTATGTTCCTCTTAGCTTCTAGGTGCTCACAAAGAAAGGATTTTTTGAAATGACCATCAGAACATTAGTATTTCCTATATTATTATAACACGTTCTGAGGCTAATTAGTTAGACATTCTACTCCCCCTTACAACTTGAAAATAACTCTGGAGAGAATGGGATCGCATAGGACAGGCTTCTGTGGGGCAAGCCTCATGGAGAAAGGGCTAGAACCGCGGTCACCAACTGGTGGTCCGTGAGAAAATTTTGGTGGTCCATAGAAAAATTATTTGCATTTTTTTATATTGCACTAAATCGGGGGTCCTTAAACTATGGCTCCTGGGCCGGATACGTGCAATGAATGTGTGTGTTGCTGCAGAGTCTCCACCTTCGGTGTCTTTTTGTGCAGGCCAGAGGAGGGCAGAAATTCTGACTTGGGGTCTGCTTCAGTCTCCTGGTATGGGGCTTTGCGCGAAGGCTGGAGAGAAATGCCACTGGTGGTGAAGAGCTGGAGGGCCTTGTTCCAGTGGGACTGCATCATGGCTTGGAACTGGCTGACCATTTCAGCCCGCTGAGCCTCCAGGTGCCGGTACCTGGCCTTGCACTCCCACCGGTTTTCCCTCTGCTTGAAAAGCCTGTGCTCATAGTCCTCAGTGAGGTGTTTCTGCTGAGCCTTCTTCTCTGTCAGATCCAATTTGAACTGAGCCAGCTGTTTTGCCAACTCTTTCTGGTAGTGGCTGCTTAGCTCCAACAACTTTTGGGGCCTTAAGGAGCCTGGACGGGGATGTGAGGAGTGTTGGCAAGGGAGGGGTGAGTAGGGGCTGGTGAGGTGCCCCTTAACGTGAGTGACATCGAGCTGGCCATGCCCATCCAGTCACATGACCACCTAGCCATGCTCACCCGGTCATTAGGCAGATCATATTAGTAGTCCGCGGGATTTAAAATTATGAATTTAGTGGTCCCTGAGCTCCAAAAGTTGGTGACCCCTGGGCTAGAAAGCCTGAGGGAGAAAAGGGTAGAAGAGAGGCTCTATGGGGCCAGTCTGAAGGAGAGGAGGGGAGAGGAGAGAGTGGGACCAGCCTGAGGGAGAGAAAGGGATAGGAGAGCATCTATGGGGCCAGCCTGAGGGAGAGAAGGGGGTAGGATAAGAGAGGCTTCTGTGGAGCCAGCCTGAGGGAGAGGAGAGGCTTTTGTGGGGCAGCCTGAGGGAGAGGAGGGGATTTAGGGGGACAGCCTGAGGGAGCACAGGTATTCAGCTGGTTATAAATATAACTAACCTACATAAAAGCACACTTCTGTTTTTTCTTTCTAAAGTGCCATGTGGGGGAGATTTAAAAAATAACTTAAGAACTTTGAGTGCAAATTAAAAAGAATACACACCCAAAAATTCATTATCAATGAATTTGCTAATGAATTTTCCATTTTTACGTGTTCAATATATATTAAATTTTTTAGAATAAAGACAATAAAATTGTCAGTTATAAAACAATTAAATTACATTTTTTAACCTTTTGCAGATATTCAAATTTTGATGGGAAGTCTTGTATACCTGAGGCAAGGAATTGAAAATTCTCCATATGTCCATTTACTAGATGCAAATCAATGGGCAGACATCTGTGACATTTTTACAAGAGATGCTTGTGCATTATTGGGACTCTCAATTGAATCACCTCTTAGCGTTAGGTATGGCTTTTCATGTTACATGCATTTTCAGGTTGAATTATCTACTTATTTCTCTTTTTAACAAAATTCTATGACATCCAATTCCAAATATATTACCAAAAATAAAATCCAACCCTCTACTACAAATTAGCATAAACAGTATAAAAATCTTAAAAGTCCTAACTTAAAAAAAAATCGTTTGAAACCTTTCTAAACTGAATAAAAGGTAGGGTTAGCCTCATTTTCAAGTACAAATAATTCCATATTAGAATTAAAGCTGGTAGGCAATTGTATTTTTGACAGAATCTGAAAAAAATATCTCATGCTATGTGGATGCTGAATATAACAATCCTTCAAGGTTTATTTGATTCTAATTATTCCCACCATTTTTAACAATATGGAATATGTGGCTTTCTAACAGGTAAATTGCCAGGTTGATCAAAAATTGTGAAATCAGTTGATGTATGTATATTTTTTTAATCAATTTTAATCAAGTGGTTGCTTTTCTGCCTGCTGCTTTAGAGAGCTGTTTATGGTTTGAAATAGTTGCAAGCTGTTTGTTCCAGAAACTGCCTGGAAAAAACTACCTTTTGCTTGGATTTGTGAGGTTTCATAAACAGGCTGCATTTTGTGAAACTGAAAGAGTCGAAGAGTTGGGTACTGTTGCCATCAAGTGTTGTTTTGATACCCTTCTGTCCTGTCCTAGAGAACTGTGGTATGATGTGCCTTAAGCAAGTTTCGTAATGTGAGAAAGTTGTGACTATGTATTAGGCTGTATTCTAAGTCAGTGGTCCCCAACCTTTTTATTGCCGCGGCCCGCTGAGCGCGCGCAAGGGTGGGGGCACAGCCCAGGAGCTTTTGCGCACGGCCCATTGCGCACGGCCCATTGCGCACGGCCCAGGAGCTTTTGCGCACGGCCCAGGAGCCTTTGCGCTGCAGCGTTCATGTCCCCCGGCCGCTGCACGGCCCGGTGCCAGGTACTCCACGGCCCGGCACCGGTCCGCGGACCGGGGGTTGGGGACCACTGTTCTAAGTTATACTTTGCTATTTTATTTTCAGTTTTGACTTAATTTTGGCCAATCATGAAAATGAAGTTGTATAGTATTTAGACCAGCTATTTGTACATTTTCTAAAGCTATTTCCATAAAATGCATTCTGCTTTTAAAGTAAATTTGATTTTGCACTACATTTGGGTATTGTTGTTCTACAATGGTAACTTTATACACAAACGATATAGCATGATGAATGCATGATATTATTTTCATTCTGCTTTAAATGAGTATCTGAAAAATAACCTTTGTTATAGTAAGGTTCTTACATTATTTGGCAATACTGATAACATTCTTAATATAATCTAGAATATATTATACTTACTCAAAAAGAAGGTTATTGCGGATATAGGATTATTCTCACCAAAAAAGAAAAAGTACATTGAAAAAAAAAAGTACAGGTAGTCCTCAACTTACAACAGTTTGTTTAGTGACTGTTCAAAGTTATAATGGCACTGAAAAAAGTGAGTTATGACCACTTTTCGTACTTATGACTGTTGTAGCATCCCCACGGTCCTGTGATTTACATTTGGATGCTTGACAACTGGCTCACATTTTTTATGGTCGCAGTGTCCCGGGGTCACATGATCCTTTTGTGACCTTCTGACAATCAAAGTCAATGGGGAAACCAGCTTCACTTAACAACCATGTAATAATTTAACAACTGCCATTGTTTACTTAACAAATGTGGAAGAAAAGTTGTAAAATGGGGCAAAACTCACTTAAGAAATTTTTCACTTAACAACATAAATTTTGGGCTCAGTTGTGGTCATAAGTTGAGGACTACCTGTACAGACAATGATGTACTGCTAAATGATTCTATTCTATTGTTATTAAGTCAGACTTGCCAAATCCACATGAAAATAAGCTTGAAGATTATCTTCCCCCAAGCAATAAATGCATGCGCATCATATATTTGTTTTAATACTTATCAGTAGTCACACTCCTGAAGCGGCCAAATAGTGATGATAATAAAACAACAATAATAGAATTAAAATTACTTGCCTATATATAAAGATACAACAGCATCGAGACACAACCATTTTATACCAACAATCGCTTCTCACACAGACTGTTTTTTCACATTGTACTCACAAATACATAAGCACAGATTCCCTTCCCTCCTTTTATAGAAATAAAAAACAAAAGTTTGGATAAGAGGAAAGAATAGTTGCCCTAATAGGAGAAGAAGGAAAAGGAGGGGAGGCAAACTGAATGGAACTGAGGTAAAGGAAAGAAGTACCTGTACAGAAAAGAAAGAAAAATAAAATACAAATGCATGTTATAAAATAATTACATTCATCTTGCAAACCACCCCTTTCAAGCAACTGCTGATCCTCAGCTTATTCTCAAACTCATTCAAACTCCTTAACACTAATGTCTGCATAATTTATTCTTCCATTCATTGTTGTCAGCATCTTTCTCAGCAAATGTAAATAACACCCAATTCATGGCTAATAATGGGGGGACGGGGTTTGGCGGGGAGATGGGAATCATTCTTTTGAGTAAATACATGCTTTAGTAAATGTACTATTGCAAAGGAAGCTTCACAATATTAAACTTTAATATTTTGCTTTCTTCAGCTTTTCAGCAGGTTGTGTAGCATTGCCAGCTCTAATTAATATAAAAGCTGTGATAGAACAAAGACAGTGCACTGGTGTTTGGAATCAGAAAGATGAATTACCAGTGAGTAATTTTTTGTATCCCAATAAAGAAGTTTTTACCTGGAGTAGGAGTTATTTCCATGATGTAAATATTTGGATTAGAGTTTTGCACAAATCACATTGTAACTTGAATTTTATTTCTCTTAAGAATGCATCTAAATCGGGATATTTTAGCAAAATATACTTTAAAATAATGAATGTTTTATTTTATTTTTATTATGTAAGGTGATCAATTTAATTTACAGGCAAGCCACATCTGTAGTTGTTTGATGATAGTGATAAGTTGATAGTTGATAAGTATTGGTACTGTTGGAAGAAATGTCCATCTGGTTCAGTTCCAAGTGGGGAGAAAGACACTGGAAACATGGAAGCTGATTTGAAAGATAGTTTAATGAAGCAGAACCATCAAGCACATGGTCCTGGTGCAGTTGACCACATGGAGTGGAGAGTGAGAGTTATTTACACCCTCTCTGGACTTTGAACTTGAGCTTCCTGTTCCTGTGGCAAGAGCATGTATTCTATTGGTTGCTATCAGAGTCCCATGGGGCTATGCAGGGATCATAGCTGAGGTTGTCTGAGTTAAGTTTGGTTGAAACTTGGAGGGTGATAATGTAATGAAGAGGCTTGTGTTCTGTGGGTAATTCCTATTGTGTCTTAATGGCTTTGTCCTGGTTTGGATCATGAGTGAGGGTTAATCCCATCATCCTGAGGCTGAAGGTCTTTTGTCTTGTAGATAGGTTGGCCCAGTCCTTCTTAATGAGCACCAAATATCTGCTGAGAGCAGGAAGCTGGGGCTGAGTTTGTCTCCCTTAAGATTTTCATTTCTCTTTTAGGGGAGAAATATAATATTCTGTCTTTTTAAATATTTCTCAAAGTATTTCATTCTTCTAGAAGGGTTTGGGTGTTAACTTTCTACAGTACAATTATCTTTATAAGAAAACACACATGGGAAAAGATCGCAGATGTTAGTCATTTAATAGGAAGACCCATATTGCTGGAACACCTTGTTCAAAAGGCATCTTAATTAGTTATTTTAGATTTATTTGTAAATTACTTAAAGAAGTTCAGTGATTAAGAATTAAAATTTTTATAGCCCAGAAATTATGTTTGATATTTATTTTAAGGATATTAAAATAAATGAAAGTATTTGTTTTGTTAGTGTTTTGTCTAGATTTTGTTTTATTATTTAGCACTATTAATAAGTCATGTGAATGCCAGTTTAGTGTATAGTTAAAGACACCAGGCTGGAACAAGGAGTCTATGAATTCTACTCCTACATTAGATATGAAACCAGTTAGGTGACTTTGAACTGATCACTTTCTCTCAACCCTGAGAAGAAGGAAATGGCAAACCATGTCCCAAAAATTTTGCCAATAAAATAGGTTTGCACTTTCTCATCTAGTCATCAGGAATCAAGTCTGACTCAAAAGTGCATATGTACACACCAAAGTACACCAGGCTGCTGGTGGCATTGGCTCATCTTAAATTGTAAGCAATAGTTCAAATTTTTGGTGATTTTAAGTAATAGAGGAAAGTCGAAAAGAGGAATCTGGGTAAACCAAGTAGATATGTGCAGTTGCTTACATTGCTGAATTAAGATATGGCATGGTAGTCGCTTTTTACAGCCATTGAGGTATTGGGTTATAATAGTGAGGTGATAGAAAGTTAAAGTGTCTTTCCTTATATTAATCTCATGAAGAGACAACTAATACAGTCATTGCCTTTTTTCAAGCAGCTATACATGTATCCTTACTCTACATTACTTGGAAAATGACATTTTGTGGCAAGGAGAAAACAAGGGATGCTATCCATGTCAATCATCATGACACCTTTTAACTTTCCTATGAATTGCCTGAAACACCTGTGGGAAATGAAAAGCAGTTGAGACATTCCAGTCAATTATGATCCATTCCAATCAGTTATGATTATTTCCAATCAATATGCCTGGTGGGATATGATATAAATCACTGATCTGAAACTGTTAGTGACTGCATCTTTGTTTTGTACAGATTGAAGTGGACCTTGGCAAAAAGTGCTGGTATCATTCAATATTTGCTTGCCCCATCCTTCGTCAACAAACAACAGATAACAACCCACCCATGAAGCTAGTTTGTGGTCATATTATATCAAGAGATGCTCTGAATAAAATGTTTAATGGCAGCAAGTAAGTCAAAATTCAATTCACAGAGAAAATTGAATTAGTTTTTAATTTAACATATATTTGGAAATGAGTGTGAATTATAACGAATATTGGCAAGAAGACAAAAATAATTTTTTGAAACCATCTATTATAGCAGCATGTCAGAAGATTGAGTTGCTATTTGATTTTATAGGAACTTGTCTAGTGTTCTGTAAAAATCTGATGTTTTAAATCAATCTTCCCCAAACTAGTCTTCTCCTTCATATTAATTATAGCATCTGATACTGTACAGCTCTGATACTGTACAGCTAACTTTTCAACATCTGAAAGATTCCTAGTTGGAAATGATGTTCCAAGTGACATGAAATAGAGTACAAAGTATCCAAGTGAATTATGATTTCTGTCCTTAAATGTAGGGAGAACATTTGACACAGAGCAAATATTGGCTTCTAACCAGAAGTGGAATTGCTTGCAGCACATTCACAGAGTGCAAAGAAGCAGTAAATAAAATCCATTTTTCTTGGAGGGATTCAGCCATATAGATACTCTTTACTAAATAGTTGGCTTGGCAATATAATGACAAGGATAGAATAGCAATTGTGGTAAATGAAGAGAGAAATGGAGACTCTTCTCTTTTGGACTCCTGTTTCTTTTTTTAGTCACATCTTTATATTGTAATGCAGAAAAAGTAGCTGGAGTGTTCTTTTTTTTTAAGTTGAGATTTTTGAAAAAGTATATTTCCCTTTAAGAAATCAGACCATTTGCCCATTGAGTCTAGTATTATGTATATCATAGGTGTCAAACTCGTGATGTCACGTAGCGTATCATTTTTTCCCCTTCATTAAACGGGGTGGGCATGTGGGACACATGCTGGGACACACCTGATTTATATTGACTAATAAGTCTGGAATGGTTTAGGATAGATATATACTATAACAGGGCACATTATGTTTTATAAGCTCTTAAGGCAACCCAATATAAAAATCTTCTTTCACATAATGGGTTAAACAGCATTCTCATCACTGCAGCAGGAAATGAAAGCAAAATCATTTTTAAAATTACTTTGATGATTTCTAGGGCATAATTGTTTTCACAAAGGACTTGAGAGTGACTTAGTCTTTCATTACTTACAATAGTACAGCCTATTAGTATCATGAAACTGATTTAAAGGGAGAATAACTCTTCCCTCCAAAAAAATCAGGAGCCCAAAGTTTCAAAGTGTTTTAGAATGTGCTATAAAGATGATAGCTTATATTTGAAATGGTCCAGGAAATGTATTTAGTGAAGCTGTTGTACCAATAGGTGTCACATGATCCTGACAGTTGATTCTAATCAAGATTTTAGTGCTGCTTTTTGGCCAGAAGATGTCTCTGTATACTTCTCAAAGCCTCATTTTGTCATTTTTACAGCAATCCTAAATTCTTCATCCTAACTAATTATTGGTTTGGGTATAAGGTTTTCCATCTACTTAAGAGATCTACTTAAAATATCTTAAATAGACATGGGAGAAGTTGTATTTGATTGTTTTCTTCTTTCTCAGTTTTAACCTTGATTTTATATTGTAAATCTTGGTCTCTAGCTGTTCTATGACTATTTGTTTCAATATTGTTGAATCACAAACCAAATATTGAAGTGAGATAAGAAATGTCAAGTATTAGTTATTTAAATGTGTTATCTTCAAATGTGGCTATTTACATGCCATTTTGCAGCTAACTTTAATATTTTCTTTATTCTTAGATTAAAATGTCCTTATTGTCCTATGGAGCAGAGTCCTGGGGATGCCAAACAGATATTCTTCTGAGGACACAAATTATTATATGTGTGTGATCTGGAAAACTTAAACAGGCAAATGTTCCATTTTGTGCTGTACATACAAAGGAGAATTCTTGTGTTTTATATGAGTCTGATGCTCCAGAAATTTTTGCCAACATTTATTGCAGATGTACAGATTGGAAAAGCTCCAGATGTAATATCTGTTATAGGGCTTTTACTGTAATCTTGGTCATCATATCTGACCAAGATACTACACCAGCAGTCATTCAATGCAGATTTTTTTGTACTTAATTCTATGATGACTTTGCTTTATAAAGTAGACCAGTCACCATATAATTCTAATATTTGTCCTGCTGTTATCATTCTGATTGATTATTGTCACCATAAAGAATGTGAAGGAATTTTTTTCATTAGCATGTAAATAATTAAGAGAGGATTTCAGGAAAAAAGTTTAAAAATTGAATAGTGGATATACTTGTATTTCTCTTATTATTTTTCCAAGTCAGAAGTCTGACATTTTCAGAGAGTTTTTTTTCCTCCTGTTGGAACATTTTTTCTCAGCTTCTAAATTCCACCTAAATTCTACCTAAATGTGCTTATATATAAATTGCATAATATTTACATAAGCATAACAGATTTCCAATTATTTCTGATTTAGAAAAATAGCAGGTGAATAAGGTTTCCTACACTTATGAATTTTTTTCAGTTGTTTTCATAACCAAGAGTTCTTTGGTAGCTGAGAGAAATCAATACCGCAGAGCTCTAGAATGGAAAGTTTTTCCAGCTAATACTTGTTCTTCAGGGTTTTTTTAGTTATACTGTAATTTAAGGTTTGATTTCAAGATCAGTGTCTTGTTGCTGTACAGTTTACTAGACATGATTGTTACATTATTTATAAAGTTATCAGAACCAAATACACTGTTGCTAATGTTCATTGTTAAGAAGAGGAGTAGAAGGTGTTTCACTATCCCAGGTTTGGACCTCCATCTTATAGAAATAAATATATCTTCTGTTGTTAAGAGCGTTGTGCCAGTGACCATGTCCCCATAAATATCATGATATCATTTTATTCTTAAATTTATTATACTGGTGACAAAGCAGATATCTAGATTAGAAACTTTAAACTGAATTTGATCACCATTCTCCCTACCAGGAGAATCTTGAGTATCATAGGAAGAAGAAACATTAGTAGATTCTAATATCCAAAGTCTTGCTAATTTGCAGTGGCCTGGATTCTCTGGGAAAAGCTAGGATAGGTAAAGGATTATGCATTTGTACTATAAATAATATCCAAAGTGAATATATACTTACAAATTTGATGCGCGTTATAGCAAATGTCATGTGTGCATTCATTGCATTGTCCTACAATAAAGCAGGAGAGCTATTTGATATTTATTGCTACTAAGATTCCATGTTTGTATGGCTGGATACTAAAATAATTAAATCCACTGGCCCAGTGCATTACACAGAAAAATGTTCATAAAAGTTTTACATGTTCTGATAATTTGCCATAGTCCCAAAGAATATACCAATGCAACCTGGCACTATTGTTCAAATAGAAAAAAAAGAAGTAAAACTGTACACTGTATTCTCTGAGTTACTTCTATAACGTGCTTCTATAGAAATTTAATAAAGATAATGAGAAACAAGTAGAAGTGTTTTCTGTTCAGGTTCAAATCTCAGTGAAGTTGCTTTCCATCGTACTAAGGGAACTGCACATATGTAGTTAAATATATTATTCTACTCAGTGACGTAAGAAAATGTTAAAAATGTAGCAGTATAATACACAAGTGTATTCAAGGGAAACATTTATATTGTAAGGATATTTTGCAGACATATAAATAATTTCATGTATATGGGCCATCAATCTCAATAAGTATTGGAGTTTTGTAAATATTTGACAGAAAACTCTGTTTTCTTTTTTAATCCAAGAAACTATGCTAGTTTGCCTATCTTATACGTAAGGATTTATGTCTTCATACCGAAATATAAGGACTGATATCATTTTAATGGACTCCAGAACAAAAGTGGAGTTTATCCTTCCCCAGATCACTGGGGAATGTTAGTTCCTAGGCATTTCATTCTGGGAGGGATGGCTGCACTGTTTTTAAATCCAGAGATTGGAGTTATACCCCATCAGTTGTATGATGGAATGGCATGGTAAATATGAACTATGATGTTCTACACTTTTTTAGAATTCATGGTTAATATATGAATTATTTTTGAGCCTTTTCATTAATCTTATCGTTTGAAAATGCTTTGCATTTGTTTTTCTTGAAAACAGTACGCTATAAACAGATATAGTTTATTTTAGCAAACATTTCCCAATTACTTTGATCCAAAGCACAGCCCATTTTGCCCTTGAGACCGTCATTGATATGACTGAGGTGAGGAAACCATTGTTGTCTGGGGAGTGACAATAAAAACAATGCATACAAACATATTTCATGGTTATAACATGTTTGTGAGTTGTGATCAGTATTTCTCAACCTCAGCAATTTGTGTGGACTTCAACTTCCAGAATTCTGTAGCTAGTATGTTGGTTGGGGAATTCTAGTAGTTGATGTCCATACATCTTAAAGTTGTTGAGGTTGAGAAACACTGTTCTAGATTATCATATTGCAAATACATTTATTCTCTGCAGTACATATGAGCTGAGGCTCAGTTTTGATAGCTTTCTGCTGGTACAAAAAAGATACAGTGCACACTTGAATCCATGAATGGGGATGGTCAATAGGTAGAGCTCTACTGGGCTTATTATGCTGACAACTAATGTATTATGTTACATGGTTACTGTAATGAGTATAAAATGTTTGCTAAATGTATTTTGCTTGATTTTATTGCCTCAATAAAATTTATATGAAAATAACAGTAGATGCTCGGAACTGATAGCATCTGATTTGGAAAGTCATTACAGTCCTTATATTTTAGGTATCAAACAATTTCATGTGAACTATTGAAGTTGACTAGCAAAATGAGCTTTCAGTATGAAAATTGTCCTGGTCCCTTGTTTCTGTGTGTGTGCCTGCTTTTCATTTCTGGCTTGTTCTTTCTGGTAATTGAGGATACAAATATAAGTTGTTGTTTTTTTTAATTCTACGTGTACCTACTTTCATAGGTTCTTTCCACACTATTTAGTCTGGAATTACTTTGCTTTTTTCAGTTTTCCGAGAGTATTATCTAAACCAGTGTTTTTCAACCTTGCCAACTTTAAGATGTGTGTATTTCGTATGGTGGCTGGGGAATTCTGGGAATTGAAGTCCACACATCTTAAACTTGCCAAGGCTGAGAAATAATGATTTAAACTATATTCTCATCCAGTAATGTATGTCCTTCATTTTTCTTGTTGTTCTGGGGTTTTATTTGTTTTGGGTTTTTTTTTTTGGGTAGATCACAATAAATTTATTTGTTGGATCATTGCAGGGTGGCAGTGGCAACATGAGCTCTTGTCAATCAAGCAGATCTGTAAGAGCTCCATGCACATTCTGTAAATCCTTGCAGAATTTTTTCATTCCACTGTTTTTTAATTAATGATATTTAACTTTTTGATTCTGTTGTTCATGGAATGGGATAGTGTTATAATATTAAGATTAATAAAATATACTTTTATAACACCAACATTGCATAATGTTAATTTAAAAATAGTATTTAACAACATTTTAAAAGAACTTTCATTACTTAACAGGTTTTTCTGTTGGTTTCCAAAATAATTTTTCATATCGCATGTAGGAATGAATATTCAACTACTATTTTAAAAGCTTTTTTCATATATAGACCTATTTCCACAAATAGCAGGAATGTTATGTTTCTCCTCTAGTTATTTGCAACATTTCTTGCATACAAGAAAATAACGTTCTGTAGTGCTGTGGAGGAAAATGGATGCCATTCTCAAAAGATGGAAGAGACAATCATTTGTGATGGAGACCATAACCATAGCAATCTTCCTCTCTATGATTTGGAACTTAATGTTATGCTAAAGATATTATCGTTTCAAAGCCTTCCACCAGGGGTGAAATCCAGCAGGTTCTGACAGATTCTGAAGAACTGGTAGCAGAAATTTTGAGCAGTTCAGAGAACTTGCAAATACAACCTCTGGCTGGCCCCAGAGTGGGGTGGGAATGGAGATTTTGCAATATCTTTCCCCCAGGAGTGGGGAGGGAATGGGGATTTTGCAGTATCCTTCCCCTGGAGAGGGGTGGGAATGGAGATTTTGCAGTATCCTTCCCCTGTCACGCCCACCAAGCCATGCCCACAGAACCGGTAGTAAAAAAATTTGGATTTCACCACTGTCTTCCACATACAGAATTTCTCATTTACAAAACTGGCAATACCAACCACAACAACAAAGAAGTACAAAAGAAAGTAAAAAAGGATGAGCCTCTCTGATTATTGCAGTTTCTAAGAAATCTTCCCCTCACGCATATTTGTTACATGGCAGCAAACAAGATAATTGAGCTCAGTCTATATTGATTTCTTGGATTTAAACACATAATTCAGCTACCTTTGTTTCTTCCTTGCCTTTCAGTTTAAGTGACTTAAATGTTTATTTTCAAATTAATTAGAACATGTTTTCTGTCTGTATAAATTGGCTATATGATTTTGGTGAGGATAGGAGCTCCTGATAGGATCACCTTTTCCTGTAAGGGTGAAAGGGCTTTTTAAGATATGGTAAAGAAAATGCTTTAATAACTCTATGGCATTCATTATAGTGATGACTATTGTCCTACTAAGCACCATTTGAATGTTTTACTTAGCTTATTTGAATATTTTTTTAGTTTAACTATGGATCAGATAGTTGTGGCTAGAGATTTTAATCAAATGTTAGACCTCTGTTAGACTATTTTTCTAGTTAAATCTATCTCTTGTAAAGTCCTACAGGCATATGTGTTGGAATTTAATTTGGTAATTTAAGGTGATATAATTGCTTCACAGTAAGAATGCACAACAGATTTGTTTCTTCCTTAGTTTTTTTTTATTATCTTGATTTTTATATGGATAGAGAAATGAAATATCAGCTTTAATATAATTGGTAAGCATGCTCCAGTAGCATCACTATTACAAGAAAAATACTCTTTTTAAAAAGAAAAGATGTTTGAATACATTGCTACTGAAAGATTGACTTTGTGCAAAAGATGAAACAAGAATTTTAAGATTTTTTTAAAAACAAACCTGTGAAATTAAAGGTTGTTTTACTATACTTCATGGAAAAAAGTCTATACAAGAACATTTGGAAACTAAAGTTAATATAATAATAACTTTATTCTTTAATATGCAAGACAACCTATACCAGAATTACTTTTTTGTCTGCTAAATTGGAACTTAATTTCTCTTATGTATTTGATACAGAATACTGATTAATTGCACAAAGATATTCGAACAAGAGGAAAGTCCTTGTAAATTATTGGCTTCTTACTTGATACAGCAATAACAAATTAATCTTTATGTTATTAAGAATGCTTACAGCCATGTATGTAATAGCTTTGATTCAATAAATAAACATTTTTATTTTATAATAAAGTAAAAGTTAGCAGGAAGAAATTAAAAAAAAATATGACTCTTCCAAACATTATTTGTGACTAATTGTTTATCTGGTTGCATATTACTTTTAAATCAATACAAACCGAAAGAACTCCCGATCTTGACTACTATCCTACTGATTGGCATAAGCATGTACTGATTTTTTTCTCACCTGATTATGTCTGGAAGTTTCTAAAGATCTTTTTTTGGATAATTTTTTTCTAACATCCTTTAAATCCTTAATTCTGAGTATAAACTCTTGTAAAAGTTCATCTGATTGTGCCAGGAGTTATTTGATTTTCTTGTTAAATGTCGATGTAACATTTTGATAGTCCCAAGTTCATGCATTGTAAATGATACCACCTTCAGTGGTCTATCCTGTGCCATTTCCTTTTATAATGTAGAACAAAGTCACCCATAGGTTATACTCTCAACAGATAATGTAAGTTATTCATTCAGAAAACTGGAATTGATGATAGTTTCATCGGATATGGACAAGGCTGGTAATTGGTGTAGTTCCAATTTTAGAACAAGTTTTGGCCAGATGTGAATTTCTTTTTTCTGTCGCTTGGATTACAATGTTGTTATATGTTGACTATTGTAAAAATGTTTTGTGAACCATTAAGATGCTTTTTATCTCGTATAATTTTTATTACAGGTAATCAGGCATTCTGGCTTGAATTAAACTGAGTTATGTCGTGATATATGTTTGATTGATAATTATGAATTATAAAATACATTAATACGGTAAATAATTTGATAAATTATCAGATTACTGAATTAATTGAAATAAATATGCAGCCTTAAATGTATCTAGGGAAATCTGTCATCACTGGGGCTTTAGTTGGCATTTGGGGAGGAAAGTTGGTGATGAGGAAATACCTCCCCTAAGGAGCTCTCTTAGGAAGGCTGCTTCTGTTGTCCTTTATCCCCATATACCTTTTCTATTTTCTGTTATATTTTATTCTCACTTACTACTTTTATTCTGCTTCTATATACATTTTTTCAATCTTAAAAACTACCTGCTTCAACCTTCTGATACACAGAGCAATCAAATCAGAGGAGAGGAATGGTGTCATCACTGGAAGGAGGATGAAAAGACAGTCCTCACATTCTGCAACACAGGATTCAT